CGGGGAATCGTTCCCCCCACGGCACCCTCCAGCGAGGCTGCCGTCACCAAAGGAGCGGAGGTGTGTGGGACCGATCCTGAATCCCCCTCCGTTTTCGGTAGGTCTCCCTCAGCTCCGCTCATGATCTTGCCAGATTCGGAACGATAGGAGAAAGGGAGTTCTAACAATATGTTGGATCCCCAAGCATCGAGAATAAATCCACGTTTTCAAGAAAAGCAAAATTTATTTCAAAGCGTTGAAGACATACTCAAACACGTTCTTTGTTAGAACTGGGGATACACAGTTAGGGCGAGCATAATAAAGGAAATTCAAACAGATACATATCCAATGAATAATATTCCCGCTGGCGGGCTAATGAAACGGTTGCGCGCCCAGTCCATGGGAACCAGGCAGAACATCAGACAAAACACAGGTGCAGTTCTCATGAGATAGCAATAGGCAAGCATTACAGCATCTTCTCCCCCACACATCCACCAGTAGTTATCTTATGCATTCCAGCACAGAAGCAGGATAGTAGAAACAAGCCGGGTGCAACAGGGTAAGGATATGTACACAGAGGTCACAGAAAACAGAATGGCAGCTTGCTGACACTTGGCTTGACAGCAGCACATGTGAAAGGGATCTAGGTGTTCTGGTTGATCACAAGCTAAACATGAGCCTGCAGTGCAATGTGACTGCGAAGAAAGCTCATGCAATCTTAGGATGCATTAACAGAAGCATTGTGTCCAGATCACGGGAGGTGGTAGTTCTGCTCTATTCTGCTATGGTCAGGCCTCACCTGGAGTACTGTGTCCAGTTTTGGGCACTACATTTTAGAAAGGATGTTGACAAGCCCGAGCGTGTCCAGAAGAGGGCAACCAGGATGGTTGAGAGGGTTTGAATCCAAGTCTTATGAGGAAAGGCTGAAAGAGTTGGGTATGTTTAGCCTGGGAAAGAGAAGGCTTAGAGGGGGCATGATTGCAGTCTTCAAGTATCTGAAGGGCTGTCATGTAGAAGATGGAGCAGATCTATTCTCTCTTGCTCCGGATTGCAAGACTAGATCTACTGGGTGGAAATTACAAGGGAGTCGTTACCGGCTAAATATCAGGAGAAACTTCCTAACTGTAAGAGTGGTTGAGCAATGGAACAGACTGCCTCAGGAGGTGGTGGATGCTCCTTCGCTGAACATTTTCAAGTGGAGGCTGGATGACCATCTTTCGGGTATGTTGTAGGGCTATCTTTCAGCTATGCTTCTGCAGAGTGCAGGGGGTTGGACTAGATGACCTGCAAGGTCCCTTCCAACTCTAACATTCTATGATTCTATGATCTTTTCCCCTCTCAATCTGAGCAAGTTCATTAGCCTATACTTAAAGTTGGATTTCCCCCCCAATGTATATCACCTTACACTTACTAATATCTGCAAACTTGGCCACTACACTAACTCAGCCTTAGTTCCAGATCACTAATGAATAAATGAAATTGTATCGGCTCCAATACTGATCTTTGTGGGATCCCACTGCTTACTTTCCTCCATTGTGAGAACTGTCTATTTATTCCTACTCTTTGCTTTTCGTCATTTAACCATTTCTTAATCCATAAGAGAACCCATCCTCTTCTCCCATGAGTGCGAAGTTTACTCAGGAGTTTTTGGTGAGGTACTTTGTCAAAAGCCTTTTGAAAGTCCAGGTATATAATGCTCACTGGGTCACTGCTTATATGCTTGTTCGCTTTCTCAAAGAACTTCAATGGGTTGGTGAAACAGGACTTCCCCTTGCAGAAGCCATGCTGACTTTCTGGCAGCAGGCTTTGTCCCTCTATGTGCCTAACCAGGGCTTTTTTTCTGAGGGAATGCACCAGAATGGCGTTCCGGAACATCTTCGACAAAATTCTTTTAAAAATGTTTAAAAGTTCATGAGTTTTCAGTGTACAGATTTAAAACTTCATTTCCCTCTTGAGAGTTCTGGCACCTATTTACTTTTTATAGCTTCCTTGACTTTTAGTGTTAATCACACAGGCCTTTAGAGTCCAGTGGCACCTTTAAGACCAGCAAAGGTTTATTCAAGGTATGAGCTTTCATGTGCATGCACACTTTTTCAAATACATTGAGATGGCAGGTAAGGTTCAAACTTATAGTCAGAGAATGAACAGCACACAAAAGCTGATACCTTGAATAAACCTTTGTCGGGTTTAAAGGTGCCACAGGAATAAGAGAACCAGACTTTCATTTAACCCATGAGGAACTAGAACCTTGAGTCTCAAATTCCACTTTGTTTTTTTTATTAGCATTCTATTGTAGTAATATGATTTGTATATAGCCCAAAATATGAAATCTGTGGGATCATGATTATGTTCTATGAAATGTTGTACTAAAGGGGCACCTGTTTTCTTGTGGTGAATATTATTTTTGTGTTCAGAGATACTGTTCTAAGTTTCCTTGTAACTTATCAACATAAATCTTGTTGCAAGAGCATTTTATGGTATAAATTACTCAAGTGGAACTGCATGTAGTAAAATTGTTAAGAAAATATTGTTTATTGTCATAAGGATTAATGACACTTTTCATACTGCTAGTAAGTTTGCAAAAAATACATTTTCCACAAGAATAATGGCTCATAGGTCAAGTAGCTTCAGGTAAGGTAATTGGGAATTCACAGGTAGAGATGTATTGCTGTGAACTAATTGAGCCTTTAAGTTGGATGTCCTCTTAAATTATTGGCTTCTTATCACACATAGATTGTCATTTAAAATGTTCAACACTTGTTAATGTTCTTTTTGAGTCCAACAATTATATGATTGAAAGTCAGACCACATGTAAGTCTCCCAGGATAAGGTTTTTTCCCCTTATTTTGTAATAACTCCTCCTGTGATAAGTAGTGCTTTATGATAAACTGATTGTAAGCATTGGCATGTGTTCCCTCGATTACTAAATTGTGTTCTAAAATATTAGCCTCTTTATGGAAACCCTATATACTGCTGCAATTCCTTCCAATTCTTAGAAACTGCCTATATGGGAAAGTATTCTTAATGAGAACTGAATGGTAGCTACCTTATCTCAAAAAAGAATTTTGAGCAGGTTCTTGGGGGGGGGGGGGAAATAAACCCACCCAGATCTTTATAGGCAGAGCACTCCTTTTCTCGCTGGTCTAGAGCAAACCAACCCAAAGAAAAGAGGGAGTGTCCAAAATGGGACCAAGAAGTGCAGTGGGATAAATGGGGAAGGAGATTCAGATAGGTAGGGTGGAATCCCTGACTAGGATAAAGAATGGGGGAGGACTAGCTGGCAGTAGAGCCAACTGGCTTGAACCAGGGAACAGTGAAGCTAAATATGTGGTGAATGGGCACAAGAATGTAAATGATAAATTCAGGAAGAAAAGCAAAATAGGAGACAAGAAATAATTATCTGCCTGTCTTGAAAAGGAAGGGTCTGATGACTTCATGCTTGTGGTGATAGAAGGTTCTGGAGGAGGAAACATCTGTGAAGATTAAATGCTTGAGATGTTCTTAATGCACCTGGATTTACCTGGATGCCAATGGAGAAGCCATGATATTGCTTTAGCTTGGTGCAGAACTAGGATCTGTGATGGCATTAGGCTAAATCTTCAGTAACTGGATACCCATTGGTGGACTTTTGTTTACATTCTGATTGGTGTAGCCTTGGGATCTTCGACTCCATTGATGTGAACCCAGGATCTGGGCTGTCTTATGGTAGAAGGGGGCACCTGAAGCACCCCAGCAAATGTGCTGGGTGTCCTGTGATGGTTCTGATTGTAGGTGATTGTATTAGAATGGTTGTCAAACTTGATTTAGATTTACTGACAATAGCCAGAAAATGGATTGATGGCTCTTCCTGGGTTTCATGATTGAATCATATAGGAGCTGCACTGAGAAGGAGACTTTGAGAGCTTTGGTTACTGCCCTGCAAACTTATTTATTTATTTATTTAATTCAATTTATACCCCGCCCTCCCCGCAATGCGGGCTCATTCATGTCAAAAAGTGTCAGGTGTTTTGAAGGTTTAAACATAACAACTTTGATGTTCTCTTGGAGCACTCAGGCAGTTGGCTACTTCCTCCTGAAAGCACCTAGGAGAGTTCCTGCCTTAATTAAGATATTCTAATATCAAATGATGCATTTTCTTACAGCTCTTGCATATCAAAGCCAAAGGATCTTGGGATATAAGTGACACTGTTTTGGGGGGCACTATGCAACAAATGTACAGGTTAGAGTTGTATTATTTATATCTAGGTAGAACTGTCAAATAGTTGGCTTGGACCTAGAGATCCCACTGCTCTTGTAGGGGGAAGGAGGTTTGCCACTAATTTATGTCCCATCTGCAGTCTCCAGTATTCCTCAAAATGTGGCTAAAGGATCTTCTAGTATGGCTTTTCGGGGAGCTATGTAGATAGGAGAAAAATTGTAACACTCTGTCATGTAAAAGTGTCTTTCATTCAAGCAATTAAATCTTTTGATCCACACTAGATTTCTGTTATTCAGTAGATATTGAAGAAATATAAATTAATAAATTAGTCAGCATAAAACTCTTGATAAACCATTAAAAATGTCTGTTTTGGTTAATTCATATGTGCTATGGAATTCTTTCTCCATATTGGTTCTGCTCAATTAATTTATGGTAATGTTGCTGTACTTTTATACACTTTAATTTCTTAATAGCTTTTGGAGTCATATAAACAAACTGAAGTTTTAGAAGAACAAATGTATGTTGGGGCTTCTTTCATTAGAGGCCTGGGCAAAGGATGCAATAGCTTGTCTTCAAATGAGGCTCACAAATGATAAGTGTTTATGTCTTTTCCATTAAAAGGAAGGAATCTGCCTCAGTTAGTAAAAAAAGATAGCTGTGTTTCCTGAGCTATCTGATTTAGTGGCATTTAGTGAAACTGTCAGTAATGAGATAATATTTATTTTATCTATTTTGATATGCTCAAACAACTGATCTAGAAAGACTTCATACAAGCGCTGTATAGTTGTTGACAGTGCATTTTATTTTATTTTTCTTGTAACAGAACAATGAAAACGAAACAGCTTTGCACTGTGCAGCACAGTATGGACACTCAGAAGTGGTAGCTGTTCTGCTGGACGAACTAGCAGATCCTACAATAAGAAACAGCAAATTAGAAACTCCATTGGATTTGGCAGCTTTATATGGCCGACTGCGAGTGGTAAAGATGATAATCAATGCATATCCAAACTTGATGAGCTGTAACACAAGGAAACATACCCCTTTGCACCTTGCTGCACGTAATGGCCACAAAGCTGTTGTACAAGTGCTTCTAGAGGCTGGAATGGATGTCAGCTGCCAAGTTAGTACACTATTTTTTAAACTCTCTTTTGAAATATGGCATTGATTTATTCCTTTAGATAAAGATACCATGAAATAGTTATATGTGTAAAGCCACTATGAAATATTGCTCAGTCATCTATGAAAAAATAAATTACAATCGATAGTTTGCAGACTGGATAGGACAGGGCTGTTCTCTACCTGCTGCCAGGGAGATCAGGCCAAAAGTGGTCAATTTCCACCTCCATCAGTGTTCACTATCTGTGCTTATTAATGCAGAAAGAAGTTATTAGTGGTTGTGTCAGTCCAAACGTAAAATTAAAAAGAAAACAAACAAACAAAAATAACACGGTCCACATAATACCTTTTATTAGGACCAATCAAATGACACATAACATGTGCAAACTTTCAAGTTCCCCAGAAGTCTTCCTCAGGCGGGGTGTTACAAAAAAAGAGAAACAAAAATTCCTCAGGATATGATGGTAAGTTCTGATCAAGCCAGGATTGTGTGTCTGGTGCAGAGCTATTTCTGCTGTTCCTGGTTTCAGGAGGTTATTAATTCCTTCCAGGCTCATCTCTGGAACTGGTTCTGACATGTAAATGCTTCCTTCTTTTCTACGTGTTCATCAAAAGTATTTTCATAAAGCAGAAGATATGCACTGGAGATTAATGCCATGTTTGTAACAGATATGATTATTTGACTGAATATATATCTCACAAGCTAACTTTATAATATTTTGGCTTCAATACTAAGTTTTTAAAACTTTTTTACAATTTTTTAACGTTTTTACCATTTTTAACGTTTATGTAAACAAGACTAGAAAATATTTCAAATCAAGTTAGGCCTATTTTATCCTTTTATTCTCAGTGTTACTTAAAAATCAACTTGCACAATTTGTTGTAGGCAACACTTTTCTTTCCCACCTGAAGTGCTTTATTTATGAACAACTGTCCCAAATAATACTTACAGAATTGATTCTGAAGATCATTAAGCATGTCTGGTTTTCTGGTAACAGGCTTTTGAATAATGATGTGATTTGTCTCAAGCCTTCATTGGGCAGCATTAATAATTTCTCTGGAATTACCTCCTTCATTGAGCAATGATGAGAAAAAACAGTAGAGTGGACCTAGCAAGGGTCTCCTGCAGAAATGTTGTAAAATTATTTATCAACAGCAAAGCAAAGTATGATGCTCTTCTGATCAGCCACCCGCCACTGAGAATCTCCCCATTGAAATGGAGAGCATTTTCAATTTTCAAACAGATGACGCTTTCAGGAGACTTTAAAAGATCAGGCCTAAATCAAAATTCATGGCAGGTTCCTGTATATTTGAAGAGAGTCAGAGCAGTGGTTCTCAACCTTCCTTCAACCTTTAATACAGTTCCTCATGTTGTGGTGACCCCCAACCATAAAATTATTTTCGTTGCTATCATAAGACCATCGAAAATTTGTGTTTTCCAATGGTCTTAGGCGACCCCTGTGAAAGGGTCGTTCAACCCCCAAAGGGGTCGCAACCCACAGGTTGAGAACCACTGACTTAGAGTGTGGTCATACCATCATTTTCCATCAAGGTTGTTTTAATTTAATTTAGTTAGTTAATTTATATGCTACCTTTCTAAACATTGTTAGTTCAAGATCTCACAAAAATAGTTTGCCCCTCAAACTAAAATCAGAATTCCCCTCTAATGTTTCAAAAATGAAATATTTTAACTGACACTTGAGATGAGAGCTGGTACAGAATGGACTTTTCAAAAAACTTGGAAGAGATTCTATGATTGGTATAATGTAAATGCAACTGATAAATAAATGTAGTAATTTGAGAACGCAAAAAAGATAAGCTTAGTGGAGTAAAATAGATAATGAATTTAGAAATCTAACAAGCAGAAGAAATGAAAGTCTCTTGTTATATGTTATATGTTGTGGGGGGTAGATGGGGGTTGTTTGTATGTATGTTTGTATGTCTGTAGTATATAATGGAAAAAATAATAAAAGTGTACCCTCGGGTACTTATAAAAAGAAAAGAAAAGAAATATTTTGACATCCACACCAAGAAAGATATGTCTGTGGTGACTTCAACACAGTCCCCTCACTCAATATGTTTGGATCAGTCTCTCCCCTTGGACCCATGCATAAATGATTAACAACTGGATTTTGACTGTTGGTTCAGCTGAGATTGAGATCTATATCTCCCTAATTGTCCATTTGCCTCAACTGACTCTGAACATCCTGGTTGGACCTTGGGTCCCCTTCTTACACCTTTCCCTCCTCAGTTCTCCATTCCTCCTGGTCCTACTCCATATCTCTTGGAATTTTTCTCTCTTCTGTTTCTGTTTGTCCTATGGACTCCATTCTGTGATCACACCTACCCCTTATCCTTTATCACCATACCTATCTTGACTGCTGTTATGCCTTTCACCCCACAAAAATACTTAATAAATCATATTTCAGCATCTGTATAATATAGAGGTTAGCATTTGTTGGGAACTTGGGGGAGACCTGGGTTCAAAGCACCTTGTCATCAGAAAGCTCTCTGGGTGATCTTCAGCTAGACTAATCGGTTAGTCCAAACTACATTTTTTTAACATGCAGGGCCCTGATTGGGAATGAAGTGCATATAGATTGAATAGATAGGGAGATAGAATACATCCTTGTCTGACACTTTTGCCAATTGGAAACCATTCTGCTTCTCCATATTCTGTCCTAACAGTAGCCTCTTGTCCGGGGTACAGGCTGTACATCAAAACAAAGAGATGCATGGCACACCCATTTCTTTTTAAACCAACCATAGCTCTTCATGATCCACACAGTCAAGAGCTTTGCTATAAACTATGAAACATAAACTGATTTTCTTTGTTGTAAGATTTTGAACATTACTTTACTTGCATGCAATCGTCCAATATTTAATGCAGACTTTGACATCACCTTTTTCAGACTTGGAATGTAAATTGAGTGTTTCTAGTCTGTGGACCATTGTTTTGTTTTCCATATTTATTGGCACAACCTTGTTAAGATTTTGATGGACTCTGTTTCTGTGACTTGGAATAGCTCTATTGATATACTCCTGGTGATTTGTTTTTCCCAACTTTCACTTCACTTTCTAAAACTGTAGATTCTTCTTCAAAAGATTCTTCTTGGAAGGAATCTGTCATTCTTTCATCTCTTTTGTATTGTTCTTTCTTGGATCTTTAGCAATTTCCCTTTGATTTCTTGGATCTTTAGCAATTTCCCTTTGATTTCTTGGATCTTGTGGAACAGATTTCTTGTTCTTCCTTTTTTGTTGTTCTCTTCTGTTTCTTTACACTGGTTATTATAATAGTTCTCTTTGTCTCTACATGTGAGTTGCTGTAATGCTACACTTAGGCTTTTGGTTGTTTCTGTCACCTTTTACTTTTGCTTCTTGTCTATCTTTAGCAATTTTTAAGAGTTTCATCAGCCATCCATTGAGGCTTTTCATTTATTTTGGCTACAGGAATAGTCTTTGTGCATTCTTCCTTGATAATATCTCTGATTTCAACCCATAGTTTGTCTGACTCATGTTCACTTGATCTTAGTAATGCAAATCTGTTCTTGATATCATCTTTAAACTATTCAGGAATGTTGCTTAGATTGTATTTTCACACTATAAATGTTTTGGTGTTTTTCTTCAGCTATATTCTAATCTTTGATAGCAGCAATTCACGATCTGTACCACAATCGGCTCCAGGTCTTGTTTTAGCACAGAGAATAGAACTTCTCCATCTTCTGCTTCCAGTTATGCAATATATTTGATTTCTGTATTGGCCATCCAGTGATGTCCCCATATACAATAATCTGTTTGGTTGCCTGAAACGTGTTTGCAATGAACAAATTGTTGTCTTCACAGAGTTCTATGAGTCACTCTCTTGCTTAATTTCATGCTCCAATGATATTGGATTCTGCTTGTTTCCCTAGTTTTGCATCCAGTCACCTGTAATTATCAGTGCCACTTGTTTAGGTGCGTGATCAATTTCTTCCTGGACACTTGCATTAAAGCTTTCAATTTCTTCCTCACCAGAATCTGTAGTTGGGGCATAAACTTGAATGATGGTTATATTGATAGGCTTTTCAGGAAGTCTTATCAATATTGTGAAGCAAAGTGCGTTCCCTACCATCCCTTCCCCCAAAGGGTTAATGTGAACAGTGTTGGGCCTGGGCTGACCTGCAGGTGTTGTTAATTGGCTCTCTGGCCTGCAGACTCCTTATCTTCCTCAAGGCCAAAGATGGAGGATGGTTAATTGGTTTCTCATGGAAACCTGTGATCTGTGATGGGAGGGGAGAGACTGGGAGAGGGATATCCTCCAGCGGTTTCTCTTGGAGACACATTGTGATTGGATATCACCATCACCTGACATGCTAGGCCAAAAACTATAATTCAGTTGTGGTCTGAGGGGGTAGCTAGCTGAGATTTCCATGGACTATAGGCCTACACTATGTTCTGCAATTGCTGAAGACATAGACAACACTGATTTGCAGCCTTCCTATTGAAACTGAGGTTTGTGCTACTCAGGGGTCTTTTCGTAGAAAAAGAGCGGCACGAGCTCATTAGCATAACTCATTAGCATATGTCACACACCCTGACATCACCGGAAGTGTGTCAGAAGGCCACACGGTGTGTAAGCTTCAGCACCAAGATCTCTAGGATCTACCTGACAGCTGACAGCTGCAGTAAACCAGATCCAGCCGGTTTAGACTTGGCAGAGCTGAGCCAAGTCCCAATGAGTCAGCACTGATCTGATTGGCTGACCAATGTATATATGTAGTTATGTACCACTGTATGTATCTCTCTTGATGGTGGATAGAGTCTGGCGGAGCATTTTGTTGGAGAGCTGTAAATATTTGTAAATAAATTCCTGTATATAGTAACCACTGGACTGTGTAAGTATGGCTATAGGAAAGCCTCTGGTGAGTGCGAGTGTGACTGAGGTGCTGGTTCATAGTACCAAACGTGCTGCACGACACACACACACCCCGACATCACCGGAAGTGTGTCAGAAGGCCACACCCC